AAGCAAACCCCAAACAACATATCAAGCTATGTTTAAATTATTATAATTAATTTATATAATTTTTTTTCTTCTTTTTCATGCAAATTTCTCTCTTTTGATAGGGAATTCTCTATCTGGACAAAAACGGTTTACTAAAACATACACACTACGTTGTTCTGGTGTTTCCTCTGCTGATTCCTAACCAAATTTTAATTATTTCTAAAAATTGCATTTTTATAAGTTTTTATTAATGAAAATCACTTAGATAAGATGGGAGACTAAATGGATTTTGATTTCAAAATGAATGGAGAGATTTTACTAAGCTACTATCTTTAATTTATTAACTTTCACAATAACAATTTTCTCAGCATGTGATTTTTAGTACATGGATTATACATATATTCATAAAACGAATCTATATTTTCTACATTTTTCATAAATATATTAAAACATAAATTTACATATTTACAGATAAAATGATAAAAAACGAATTGTTATCGGGCGTTCCTTTGCTTATACTGGCGAATAAACAAGATTTGCCAGATGTGATGGGGGTACGTGAAATTAAACCAGTATTTCAGCAAGCCGGAGCACTAATAGGCAGGAGAGATTGTCTAACAATACCAGTATCTGCACTAACTGGGTAATTATTAACATATGCGGCTTAAATTCATTATGAACATTATTTAATTTTTGTTATATTTGACACAGTGAAGGCATTGATGAAGGTATTAAATGGCTGGTAGATGCCATCAAACGGCATTCCATAGTAAGGCCTCCTAGAGAAAATGACTGACCAACGTAATCAAAATCAATTTTTTGTCGCTACTGATTTTTTCCACTCTCTCAACTAATTCCAACAAAATTATTTTTAAAACAATTAATAATAACAAATTAAGTTCAGCAACATAAAAAGTTACTTAACAAAAATAATTCAATTTCTTTTCTTAATATTACTAAATTATTGCATTTCGTTTATGAAATTCTTTTAAAACAGCATTTAATATATTATTTAAAATTTAAAAAAATGTCAGAATTTAAAGATTATGTGCATTGCTTAAAGGGCTTAAAGCTTTATAATATTACTTTTAAATTTTCTCATTTTTGTGTGCAAATATTTACACAATCGTTTAATTTTATTGTTTCGTTACTCTAAGTTTCAACAACGATTTTTTTAAAATAGATTTTTAACTTATTTTGTCTTATATTATAAAATAAACTTTACGAAATATAAAGATTGTTTATAAGAGAAAAATGTCGTGCTATTTTAAATATTTTAGTTATTTTATAAGTATTACTAAGAAACTTATTATGTTTCCGAAATCTTATCGGGTTATGCACAAATCTATGTGGATTTAGTAGCTAAATGCCTAAATGCCGCTTTCCAGCAGGTTAGCTAAAATTTCATAATAAATTTATAAATAAATAGGCTTATGTTGATTGTGCTGTGTGCAGTAAAATAGCTTGCTCAGAACTAACAACGAGTGGCTTAGTTTCCACTCCACCAAAAGGTTTTATCTTTAGAAAGGTTGCGTTATCAGCGATTTGACGCTCTATGTTACTTTCGCTGATATCGTGCAACTGTTCCCTTTAGAATTTTTCTCTCTTCGCTTTATGTTGCTATAGCTATTATATAGATAAGACGACTATTTGTAATTACACGTATAGACAACAGGTAAGTTAGCCAACACTTTTCCACTTCATGGAAAAAGTTATCAAATTTAGTGGAGTTTTATGTGCCGTTTAATTAGAACAGCTCGGGTTTTTCGTATAAAAGAATCCAAAAGCAGTGTCGAAATAGTTTTAATAAATATTTTTACTAATTTTAAAATTTTCTGAATTTGAAAATTTTTTAACAAAAATATATACAACAATCATCAGTGAATTAATTTAAAATAGAATTGTGCTGCACTCGGTATAGAGAATAAGATAAGATGATACGCGTTTTGTTATCAGTGAGGTTTTAATGATACCAACATTTTTGTATTTTTTTTAATACAAAGAATATTTTTTGTTTAAATAGAAGTGTTAAAATATATCTATATATATATGATTGTTAAATAAATATATATTGAAACTAAAAGGCAAATCGAATAAAAGAAAATAGCGTAAAATGTTTCCCTACTATGAAGATTGGAGCGTTTTGCCACCTGAAAATAATCGCAGGTATGAATAATACAATTAAATGCTAAATGCGTCTATAGTGAAATGAATAATTCATCGATTTGATTATTGTGCGAAATAATGAATTTCATTAATTTTATTCAGTGATATTAAATACTTATGTCAGTACAGGGTAACAGAATAACATAATTCTTATATGTCTTTAGAGCTAAATAGGTTAGTGAAATGGGCAGAGATCAACCCATCTCAATTACATATGTTACTGTTCTAACCCGCTGGGACATGCTTGTGAAGTCCCTTGTGGAGGTGTTGAACGGTGCTTGGTCGTCGTTAACGACGAGTGGCTCCGGGACGTAGACCGGACCGTTTTTGGAACTTAATTACGTATAAAGTGTATTTGATTCCACATTTCTTGAAATTTTGGCAATGAGGTTCAACATTTTAAAAGTAATTGGAACAGTTACTTAATTACTAACTTACTCTAGAACTGTGACACAACAGAAATGCAAGTTTTTCTTTCTCAAACATTAGTGAGACACCAGTGTATATGCCTTGTATTAGCCCCATTAAAATTTTCTTGAAGGTTTATAAAAATCTTCATTCCAAAGGTTAGTTCTTCATTATACTTCACAATCATTGACCATATCAAACTCCAAAATTATTGTTTAATTATTATTTCATTTTATAATACCAAGAAGCACTTACAACCTGTGCGAGTTCCAAAACAGTTTGTAGTGAGACTGACTTTGTCTTATGTATGTATTATTTTATAATAATAAGAAGCAGTTTTTATTACACCAATGAAATATGCATCATTGTTATATCAAAGTTTAAAAATTAATAGCAAGAACAAAGATAATTAGAGGGTGCTTACTTATGCTAATGAAATTTTGTCCCAGATTACCTGTGTTAGCGTTATTTTTACTTTGCTTATAGCAGTTGAAATTGCTTTCAGGATTAAAATAGTTACATTGAAAATGAAAACTAATTTTATCACCCATTAATATATTGCTTTAAAATCTATCAATAACTTCCACAATGCTTGTATAACTTTTCAAAAATGCACTAATTTTAGACAAATAAAAAAGACTTTAGTGAAATTGAATAGATCTGCGATATGAATTTTAAAGAATGGCTCTACACGATTTATTAAATATTATAAATTAATATTTTTTAAAAAACAGATTTTATATAGAACAGCTTTTTATAAAAGATTTTAATAAAAATTATTTCAATTGATGTGAATTATCCATTTGTATATAGTATGTATATATATTACTTCCTAATTTTACAACAAATTTCGCTTATTTAACTTTCTTTAACTTCAAATACTATACATTAATTTATTTTAATAGTAGTAAATAATGATACACACATATTAGCAATACATAAATTTAATGCCGATTTTAAGTTGAGATAAATTAATGAGAATAATTCTCGTCCACTGTACCAGTGTCTTTATTATTCACCTTCTGCCACCTGTCACTAAATTCACCACGATGAGTTAAAAATGTCAACGCAGAGTCATATAGGAAAGTTATCAAGTTTTTCGTACTTCTGCTTAAATTAATTTTATTTATTTATTAAAATACTTAGAAATATTTTATTTTTTAATATATGTTAAACATTTTTGTTGTGAAAGTAATAAATTGCTATAGGATTGCAGTGAAAAAACGTAACATTCCATTAGTGAAATAAACAGAAGGAAAACAAAAAAAAATTGTCGCGTTGTGAGAAAATTAGCATAAAGCAGTGAAGAAGCAGAAAAAGTGCAATCAAAAGCAAATATAAATACGAATTACGTGTTTAGTTCACAGATAAAGATATATAAATATTAAAATATATTCAATTTAGTGTCTGAATGATATCTATTAATTGAAAAGTAAATATAAGAATGTACGCAACTTAATTATGCATAATGTGAATGTAAACATTGCTAACATTTGGAACGTAAAGTTAATGAGATTCAAGTTGTGCATTGACGGTTTCTATGACAAATGGCTACATATGTCGTAATATTCTTGTGAATTAAATATTTATAAATGTTTATTCATATTTTACTGGTTTTTTAAGAGTTTTGTCCTTTGGGTTTTTCGTGGTCACTCTCTCATATTAAGTAATAGTGCATTTTTTTCGTTCACTTGAATGTCATATTAATTCAAAGTCTACAATGTGCTAAATAAGTCTACAAAAATGATTGTGTTGAATATAAGGCAGAGTTTACAAGAACTTGTTAATAAATTTGTCAAAAGTTCAGATCAAAATTATTTTTAAATGTATAAATTTTGTTTTTATTATAAATAGATAACAATTTTTAAAATAATTCAACAACTATAGTTATATATAAAACTTATATTAATTAGAGTTTTATATAAAATACTAAGAGCAGCTTAAATGTGCGTAATCTGCTTTTGCAACAGGTGGTTTATAAGTTAAATGATTTGTATATAAATAGAAAAATTATATATTAAATCTTTAAATAAAATGATTACGCACATATATATACCTATATACATGTATATATTATTTGCCAGGCAATCATATTTTCATTATGTTTTAAAACTATCACTTGTAGAAGTTGCCATACATTTTAAGTGAGAAGAAAATTTCAAAATATTAATTTTATTATATCCAGTTTCAGTTCAAAACAGGTTTTCTATAAACAAATATTCTATATAACAAATATTAATTTTAAAAATATTAATCATGAATAAAAGTTTAGAGTTTAATACTCCTAATTCCTAATATTTTAATGTGCCTTAATAAGTTTAGCCTTTTAACAAATTTTTCAGTAATAATTTTTTTCTACGAGTTAATATCTCACTACTATTTTTGTTACCTAAAATAATATTAACTGTTGCATATTATGAATGGTGAATGATTTTCTTTGTATCATCTGAATATGTGAAAATTTCTAAAAATAGTTTATAAAATAAAAAATTAAAGAAATGTGTGCATATTAATTAACAGTGAAATTTTCTATATTCACACCTTATTTGCTGTCTCTACAGTACAAATTTCACCATACTCATACTCAACATAGCAAAAACTGTCAATTGGTTTAAGCCAATTTATTGCCATGAAGTCGTGGTCAGTACACAATGACATTTCAATAAAACAGTAGGTTAAGTTTAACGTCGAAAGAAAGGCAGGCATTCCATGAGAAACAAAAGGAAATGTAAAAAAAAAGAATATATAAAATAAAAAGCGATTAATGTTTGCCATCTTCCTGCTGTGCTTCCGTTTCAACTGGAAGCATACGGTATAAGAACTGGTAGCCAGCCTAATGGCCCTTACAACGCTACACTTGAATTAAAAGTGTAGTTAAGGTGGTTATGGTCGAGAGGCAGACAACATAACATACAAATTCACAAATCACAACCTACTATAATCAGGTTAATAATAAATTACATGAAAAACAACGTTAAGCATTTAAAGAGAGCACAAACGAAAACTAAAGTGACAAAACTGAACCAGTTGTAATATGTATTATTAAAAAAAAAATATATAAATGTTAAAAGAATATTTAATCGATCTCTAAAGTGCGGTCAAGAGTGAAAATACGGTACGGCAAGTAACCGAAACGCGGGGCATGAGGGCATAAGGGCATGAGGATATGAAATGGAATAAACGATAAACGACATCTGTTCGTCGAAGCAAAGTTCAATGAAATCGTCAATGCAACGACGTTTAGTTAGACCTACTAATTGCCTAATTTGTGTGACTCCATTGTTTTGAATCGCACAAGTGAAATATTTAATTACATATTTAATTATTTTAAT